TGGTGAGCAGCAGAGGTACTAGAGGCCCTCTGGTGAGCAGCAGAGGTACTAGAGGGCCCCTCTGGTGAGCAACAGAGGTACTAGAGGGCCCTCTGGTGAGCAACAGAGGTACTAGAGGGCCCTCTGGTGAGCAGCAGAGGTACTAGAGGGCCCCTCTGGTGAGCAGCAGAGGTACTAGAGGGCCCTCTGGTGAGCAACAGAGGTACTAGAGGGCACTCTGGTGAGCAGCAGAGGTACTAGAGGCCCTCTGGTGAGCAGCAGAGGTACTAGAGGGCCCCTCTGGTGAGCAACAGAGGTACTAGAGGGCCCCTCTGGTGAGCAACAGAGGTACTAGAGGGCCCTCTGGTGAGCAACAGAGGTACTAGAGGGCCCCTCTGGTGAGCAACAGAGGTACTAGAGGGCCCCTCTGGTGAGCAACAGAGGTACTAGAGGGCCCTCTGGTGAGCAGCAGAGGTACTAGAGGCCCTCTGGTGAGCAGCAGAGGTACTAGAGGGCCCTCTGGTGAGCAGCAGAGGTACTAGAGGCCCTCTGGTGAGCAGCAGAGGTACTAGAGGGCCCTCTGGTGAGCAGCAGAGGTACTAGAGGGCCCCTCTGGTGAGCAACAGAGGTACTAGAGGGCCCTCTGGTGAGCAGCAGAGGTACTAGAGGCCCTCTGGTGAGCAGCAGAGGTACTAGAGGGCCCTCTGGTGAGCAGCAGAGGTACTAGAGGGCCCCTCTGGTGAGCAACAGAGGTACTAGAGGGCCCTCTGGTGAGCAGCAGAGGTACTAGAGGGCCCTCTGGTGAGCAGCAGAGGTACTAGAGGGCCCTCTGGTGAGCAGCAGAGGTACTAGAGGGCCTCTGGGGAGCAGCAGAGGTACTAGAGGGCCCCCCTGGTGAGCAGCAGAGGTACTAGAGGGCCCTCTGGTGAGCAGCAGAGGTACTAGAGGGCCCCTCTGGTGAGCAGCAGAGGTACTAGAGAGCCCTCTGGTGAGCAGCAGAGGTACTAGAAGGCCCTCTGGTGAGCAGCAGAGGTACTAGAGGGCCTCTGGGGAGCAGCAGAGGTACTAGAGGGTCCTCTGGTGAGCAGCAGAGGTACTAGAGGGCCCTCTGGTGAGCAGCAGAGGTACTAGAGGGCCCTCTGGTGAGCAGCAGAGGTACTAGAGGGCCCCTCTGGTGAGCAGCAGAGGTACTAGAGGGCCCTCTGGTGAGCAGCAGAGGTACTAGAGGGCCCCTCTGGTGAGCAGCAGAGGTACTAGAGGGCCCTCTGGTGAGCAGTAGAGGTACCACAGGGCCCCTCCAGATACCAGAGCACTCTGGGGGGCCCCCCTTCCACTTGCATCAGATTCACTCTTCAGTAGATTGTGGGAAGGGATAAGGGAACTATCAGGGGAAAGCAGCAAGTCATTGCGACAATATAGGTAAGGGGTCAGGATAAGGATGTGGGATGGGACGGGTGGAGGGGAAGGGATGGTGCCCAACCACTTGTGGACGGTCTCGGGGATTAGACCATTCCGCTTGAAATATACTAGAGAAGGACGAGTCAATTTATTAAACACGAGTCGTCCTTTGTACAACCATGTCAAGATTACCTTGAGGTGATTTCGGGGCTTAGCGTCCCCGCGGCCCGGTCCTCCTAATCCCTCAATCCCTTAATTATTCTTATATCTTTTTCCCATTAGTAAACAAATGGCTTTTGCTATTATCGATTCATGCCATTTATCCCAAGAATAGCGGTTAAGTTAAATGGACTTGATTGATTAATAAAGATTAAGCCACCCAAGAGGTTGCACGGGCATGAATAACCCGCAATTAAATGGACGATAGTTCGATGCCTAATGGGCTTTAAGTTTCTATTTTGTTGAATAACTTCCTCCCGAGGTAACCCCTAAACTGTGTCAACGCGGCATAGCACGTTCTTCCCTAGTAAACACAGAGACATAAGACTTATTTTACAATATCACCTCGTGCCTCTGTCATTCTCATTTAATTGGCCTGTTTCATGTATCAATGGCTTAAGTGGTGGTCAGGGGGAAGGACTTAGGGAGGATGTCCTCCCAAAAAGTTATATGTAGTCGTAAACATATATAAAAGTATATAACATATATATATATATATATATATATATATATATATATATATATATATATATATATATATATATATATATTACACATATAGCTTCAATGTATTGAATCCCTTCAAGAATGAGAAGGGTGGATAGAGACAGCAGTTAGCGTCAAGGGGGTGTCACGGATCAGTGAAAAACGGTATATATATGGACATTTAATTTATTTAAAATATACAAACAATAAATAGGTATAAAAATCTACAACAGAAGACCTAAGCTGCGGCTCTACTGACGAGTCTTTTAATTGTTTCACATAGTTCATATCATCACCTTTTTTTCCATTTTTTTTTTTAAGAATAAGGGACACAGCGGACTCCTATAGAGAGAGATGGATGATGAGAGAGATTGATTGTCAATCTCATGATGATTGTGGTGTCCGTTCCCAGCATGATGAGGAATGGAAGGTGATGGGGGAAGGGAAGGGATGATTGGAAAGTTATTTAGTAAGCTATATGTGAAAGATATGAGAAGTATGAAGGAGTGAGAAAGACAGACGTATAATGGAAATGGGAAACTATCATCTAACATATTCAAGATGGTTTCAATTATGTAGTTTGAAGTTAAATCAAACATTTGGACAGTCGTAAACATATATAAAAAAAGTCCCCCCCCCTAAATAAAAAAGTAGGGAGGATAGCGAACATAGGAAGTGAGACAAAAAAAGTGAACAGCAAACAGGGTGTGAAAGCAAACACTGTGCTGGAAACAAAACAAATATCGGATGGGAAAAACAGGAGGGGGGGGGTGGGGGGCGGGGGTGAGGGGGGGATAATACTAGGGAGGGGCGGGATTTGGGAGTGGGAGGAGAGAACCCCCCCCCCCTTTCCCTCATCATCCTGGGAGGGGTGAGAAGGAAAAGGGGGGGGGGGATGATGGGGCGCTGGAACAGAAAGGTAATGATAGACTCAAAGGAAAGAGATAAAGAAAATGGGATAGATGTCTTCTTATACTTTTAAAAGTTTGCAAGTTCTGTGGTCTCTATATTTGTGATATTTCCCAGAGTTACAAAGGAGTCCACTGTTTGTAATTGTTACACAGAGGGGGCATCATTGAACATATTTAACGCCGGCATGAAGTTTCATAACAGCCTTGTTCAATTCAAAGAGACATAGTGATTATATCTTGTTAAACCTTCACATTTCTCAGCAAATATACTAAGTAATCATGTCTTGTGAAAGCTTCCAGTTAACAAAATATAGTAGCCATATCTTGTGAAGCTAAGCAGTATTAAAATCAATAGATATATTAACTATATCTTGTAAATTCTTAAAATGCCAAAAATGAACACGATGGAAATTTATCATGTAGTCCAAAGATTATAAAAACCATTTCAAATTTATATATATATATATATATATATATATATATATATATATATATATATATATATATATATATATATATATATAATTTGCGATTGTTATTCTATATTTAGAGTTCACAAACACTGATTTTTGAGAGTTTGGAACACAGAACATATACTGTATATATATATATATATGTGTGTGTGTGTGTGGTTTTGATTGTTGAAAAGCTAAGTTGTAAATGTAATGCAAGATATTATACACCAAACTTGCACATTTAGAGATATAAAACATGCTCAATAAATGGGTACACATACTTCATTTTGAATTGTATATATTATATATAATGGTTTTTATCATGATTTAAAATTAGAACTCCAATTTATTCATTAAAAAAGACGATGCTCGTTGTTTCTATTAATTTTTAAGGGAGGGGTGTTTAGACCATTCTTCCACTAGGCTTCATGCACTTCAATCCTGTCAGTCTTACAAAACCAGTCGTGAGAATCTAATATGAGAATAAGGAGACGCAGAAGACACACAATAATTGACAGTTGTGTTGATTACCGCCATTTTCTCCCTCCAAGAGGTACACTGGGACTCTCGTCACTTAATCTAACATAAATATGTCTTTGTGATCATGTTAACCCCCCCCCCAGTCACCCTCACGGGGAGGGGGGGGGGGGTGGGGGACTCACTTTCATTCAAATACTTGTCTTGTTATTTTCCCCTAGAGTCTCCCTCGTCACAGGGAGGGGGGAAGGGGGGACTCACTTTCAGTCAAAATCTAAGTCATGTGATCATGTTCCATGAGTCACGTTCACCAGGGAAGGTGCTCGCCCTTACACCAACCTGAGTACCAGAGGCTAAATCAGTACAAGCTCACAGTAAACAAATAACAACAACAAGGTAAGCAAACAAAGAACAATTACACGACAGCAGTGAAACAAGGACACGTTTGAGTAATGGCAATACTTGAGCAAGCACTAATATCATAGGAACAAACTGCTCAAATACAAAATAGTAAATTAAAAAATAAATACTATAAGTTAAGGAATAAATATATCACAGTTTTGTCTAATTGTAACCTACAAAATAAGTACACTAATGACTGCAAGATCCTTAAAAAACAAAATTAATATTACTCTGTAATATTTCAATGTCTACAATCACAAGCGATACCTGACGGTTCATGTGGATTTACTTTATGGGGGATTTAGCTTAAGGTGACTTGCTAATCTCACATAGGCAGACGAGGAGTCACAATAACGTGGCTGAAATGTTGACCAAATCACACTAGAAAGTGAGGGGACGACGACGTTACGGTCCGTCCTGGACCATTCTCAAGTCGAATGTGAGAATGATCCAGGACGGACCGAAACGTCGTCGTCCCTTCACTTTCTAGTGTGTGGTTTAGTCAAGAAATCTCACATAGTATCTGCTACCAGTCTAATCCTTTACAGAAGGCTTCGAGGGCCCTGTTCTGAGCTGACAGCTCCAGACTTCACCCGGGGCTGACAGCACGTTACCAAATTAACAAACACGATTTATAATCGATTTATTGTTGTTTATGGATAAAGGATTAGTGTATTTAAGGATTGAAGAACTCACAATCAGTTTAAAAAAAACAAAAACAAGAGGTGAAAACTATCACTGGGGATGGCGTCGTGTCCACACGCTGCCATTGGTTGAGGTGCCTGAATATTTAAGCATTTCCTTGAGGTCGTTAATCAATACAATACAATGCTCGCGGAGCTTGAGAAAGAGGGAGTAATAATAGTAGACTTGATCTGAGGAAGAGGGGGGCTCATAGCTACTCAAACTCTACGAACATGTCTCTCAAACTCGTAAGGGCTTGGTCGTAGTCGCGGACGATGATGGTGTCTCGCATCGTTCTGGCAGACTCGCCTTCCAGATCGCGGTATTCTATGCCCATAATCTCCTTCGTGACGGCCACGGAGGGCGTCAGCTCCTGGTGCACCATGGCGTAGTGTAACTCACACAAGATTTTCACAATATGAGTCTCTATGGTGCGGAACTCCAGCAAGAAGGTGCTCTGGTAAAGCGCCTGGTCCAGAGTCACCTGTTCGATGCCCACCGCCAGGCGCTGCATCACTTCGTAAGCGTTCTGCAAATGCGAGTTGAAGTCGTTCACCAGTGGTTGAGACACTGCCTTGAGGAATGGAATAGACTGATTGGAAGTGTAGTTGTCCAGCACGCTGGCCCAATCCATGCCCAGCTGCTGCGCCTGTTGAAGAAGAAAATGGGAATTAGTTTTGCTACAGTCTTGTATGTAAATGTGATAAACATTGTTATTAACTATAATCATACTGTACTTATCTATATTCCTATTTAAATAACAAAATTCTTGTTTAAGGAAAACATGCAAGTTAATTTGGATTTATGTTTTCCTTATAATAATGCATAATAGAGGAGCGGGCATAACCTGAGGGGGGACTTCTATGTTTGCACTGTGCAAACAGAAGATTAGTTCATAAACTCATTTGCCTTTTCAGTTTTACACACCGATGGGAAAAAGTTTATCTGGAGACACGCGATACGACCAAATTTTCAAATCTTATTATCGGAAGACAGCAGCGGGCAGTATACCTTCCTCCGCCTGAATCAAATTACTTAATCACAAGGAAAATAGAGGAAAAATGTCAAGAGGGAAAAGGAAAACCTCTGAAGAATGAGGAACCATTCCTCATAATATACCTTATAAGACCTCACAAGAAGAACGAGAAACGACGATGTGAAATACCACAATCGACTTGAGAATGGTCCAGGACGGACCGAAACGTCGTCGTCCCTTCACCTTCTAGCGTGTGGTCTGGTCAATATACGTCAGCCTCGTTATTGTGACTCATCGCCAGCACGTGAAATACCAGTTAAGAAGAGAACATATCAACCCCCAGACAACCACCAGCAACTTTAGTACAAGTGCCCGCACACACAAAGTTGCAATCGTCGAGAGAAGCACTTGTGGTAGAAAAACTTGTGTTGAAAAAGAAGTGTGTGTGTGTGTGTGTGCCTGGGGGCGTATGCGGGCGTGAGTGGGCGTGAGCAGCAGATGGGCGGCACGCTGGCCACCCAAGCCTCACCCTTGCACTAGAGCCTGAGGGCCTCACTCTAGCACTATAAATACCCTCTTTTTGTTCACTCTGTACTCGAGTCCTCACATCTTGCAGAGGAGTACTAGGCTCCATCTCACTATAATACGAAGAACGCCAAGCAGGATCAGCCTAAGTCGAGCTCCAATACGTAAATAAATATGACCACAAAGAGGCCATCTGGGCCAAAACTGTCGTATTACCAAACCCGCTGACGACTCCTCTCATTACCACACAACCACTCTAATGCACAAACCACAAACTCTCCCATAAACTCATCTGGTGGCAGAGCAAGCAGCCAGCCACCCACGATCCTGCCGAGCGCCCCGTGTGTGTGCGTGTGCGTGTGCGTGTGTGTGTGTGTGTGTGTGTGTGTGTGTGTGTGTGTGTGTGTGTGTGTGTGTGCGTGCGTGTGTGTCTGCGTGTGTGTGTGTGTGTGTGTGGAGGGAGGTCCTGGAGGCTGCCATTTATGCCATATGGCGACCAAACAGTCACGACTCTCGCGGGCGGCCACATAATACCTCCACCCACCCATCAGAGGCCAAGGTCCTCACACACCCCCATACCGCACTGACATAGCTGCGAGCTCTCACTATCAGATAAGAATCCCAGGTGTCACCCACTCCACCGCAATGCTCGCTAATTAACGTCGTATTTGTCAGCAAGAACGCGTTAAATAATTTGAACAACGCGACTAACATTATACAATATCTAGTCGGTTGTTGACTTTTAGCAATTTTCTGTTTAAGGCGAAAGTTTTTTTGTTCCGTGGTAAACTTAAGTATTCCAGTGCGTGAACACACACACACTTTCTTTTCACTCTGGGAGATAAAATCCCGTAGACAATGAATATATTTTATTGTTTTGTGTTTATGGGCCCATTCAGTGGCATATATAATTTCATATAGTCAGGTCCACATTTTGTACTGCCCATACAAATATATATATATATATATATATATATATATATATATATATTATATTATATATAAAATGATAAACCCGAATAGAACCTTCACGTGGGCCAGAACCTCCGCCCAAGTGATGCAAAGTTGAGTATTGTACTCGACTCTCCACCAAGTCAGGGTGGCTACAGTGGTAAGATGAGCGGCTGCGAGTGCCTTGATCGCGGGTTCGAGTCGCTCTCAGAGATCCAGCTGACTTTAATTAGACTTTCTAACACTTCGTGTGTGTTCAGTGTTGGAGAAGTCGGCAACCTTTGTGTCTTCAATGTCAACAAAATATATGTTGACTTGTAAGTGGGAAGTTTTAACTCTTCCTTTGTGTTAATGATTCTAATACATAGTCTCTATTAATACCCACCCTCATGGCCCCAGGCTTGTTGGCTCAAAGCAATAGTGGAAAATTATTAATGAAATATCAGTTGTTTAAGATTCCCTACTAGGAACAAAAAGTTCCAAGTAGCACGGGCTATGGTGAGCCCGTAGTGGACTTACCTGGCACAGGAGCGGGGCTTGAGATGTCAGACAAACATTAGTTAGTCAAACAGACTAACTGCTCCAGCATATTGATCACTGGTAGCAATGTTTCCATTGTTCTAACACGCGCTGTAAATCATTTACAACATCGGTCTTGATGCTTACTATTTATGTTGCACTTAAGTTCCAGTGCTTTAGTTGCTGACTGACAACTCCGCCACTTGTTCTCTTACAGAGATAACAGTGTTCTACATCTTGTTATAGAGATAATGAGACTTAACAATAACAAATTCTATGTAACTATGTCCAAAAAACCTGAAATTCTTGTGATATCCAAAATAAACAGTCGCCTAATACCATTCACAAGATATCAGTAAGTAATAATTGGCCAGTACGCAACCTTGGCGTCGCTGGCAACAATTGCTTGCATCTTGCACGCGAGGCGGTGTACGTCCCTACGAGGCCCCCCAGGAATCTTCCTTGCCTGCTCTAAGATCTCCCCGGTATCTTATCGCAAATACTTTACACATTCTAAGCGTGTTGTGTGCGCCAATAACGGCGTCTCCCTCCCCCCCCCTCTCTCTCTCTGTCCCAGACAGTCACGGCGTTATCGCATCCGTCTCCAGTAGATCGTCACCTCCACTACCACTGTTGTCACCACTACTACCACTGTTGTCACCACTACTACCACTGTTGTCACCTCCACTGCCACTGTTGTCACCTCCACTACTATCACTGCCACTACCACCACTCACCACCACCACTATTGTCACCTTCACCACTACCACTACCACCATTAGAACCCAAATGGTATAGTAAACTAATATGGTCTCAACCACTGAGAGAAAAAGTTAGTGCCTTGAAAAAAATAAGGCTTGGAATATGTCACATATGTACTTATTTATAAGTGAAATAGTGACTATAAGCAATAAGTCATATATGTGCTGTCTTGTGCCAGAGCAGGTTGGTATATAATGCCCAGTTTTAGAAGAGGGTTTGAACACGAAAAGAACAGATGAAAACGGGCGATTGATTGACTGATAAAGATTAAGCCACCCAAGAGGGTGGCTTAATCTTTGGTTCCTTTGAAAGTAAACTATTATCTGGCACGGGCATGAATAGCCCGTAAAAACGGGCGATTTGTTGTTGTTTTAGATTTAGCTATTCAGAACGAAATGTCCATGTAGCACGGGCTAAGGTGAGCCCATAATTAAAGCGTGTACAGGTTTACATTTTGGCGAGGGTCAGGTGTGTGTTGGGGGGGGGAGAAGGAGGAGGGGGGAGAGAGAGGGGGGTAGTGGGGGGGGGGGGTAGTGGGGGGGGGTAGTGGGGGGGGGGAATGGGGGGTTGTGGGGATGCAATAATGTGAGGATTAGTTAGGGCGTGAGAGGCCGCCCTGGTGTGGTGTGGTGGGAGGGAGGGAACCAGGGGCCACTGATGCAATCCGCGACTCGGAAATTCCCCCCGCCTCTGTGGGCTGCTTCCGGTAGCAGAGCTGTGACTGTCCGTCATACGCCCAATATGCCACTCGCAAGATCCACGCCCACGCTGGGGGCGTGGGCGTGCGTCCCAGCGCCGAGGTCAGCCCTAGGACGCACGCCCGCGACCCCAGGTCAGCAACGCCACTCCGGAGTGGCATACAGCTGCGGCCGCGAGTGCTGAGACACAGAAGGCTTCCTGCAGGACGCAGCTCGGCACAGTTTACTGGGTCAAGTAGAAATCAACAGTCGCGAGGGTATTTCTTCCCTGTCGAGTATACTAGTATACTACTAGTATACTACTAGTATACTACTAGTATAAGTGGGGAACATCCTGATGCGAAAGGACGTTAAACCTTTTCCTCTCTCTGTTGATGTCAGACTCGTTTAAAGGTTGAATCGACGCAAGCCAGGGAAGAGGAGGGGAAAGAGGAGGGGAAGAAGAAGGGAAGAGGAGAGGAAAGAGGAGAGAAGGCAAGCCACCAGATGAGACACGAGAGGTGAATCAGAGCGGACTCCAGGCTTACCTTCAAGCCGGGATTCCCGAACAGAGAGGCGAGTGGACCGTGACAAGATCAACCCACATCACCACAGACGAAAGCCGCGGGAGGTGACAGGGGGGGGGGGAATGGGTCACCTGTAGGAGGGGGAGGAGGAATGAGGGAGAGGGTTAGGGGTTGGGGGGTTGGGGAGGGGAGCAGGAAGAGGTCAGGAGGTAGAATTATGGACTAGAGAAGCTGGATGAACAGCGCACAGGACAAATACGTTGTCCAGTGATGTATTGGGGGCAAGAATGTCGGGAGTAGGGGGTGCCGGGTTGAAAGTCCCCCCCCCCTCCCTCCTCCCCATCCCTCTGGCGTGGGGGAGGAGGCGTTCCCCCCTGCAAGTGGTGCAGGGGGGAACCCTCACCACTTGTTTGCCTCTTCCCGTTAACTAAGCAGCACCACCCCTCACCAGCCACGGCTCAAATGCTAGCTAAAAAACAATCCCAAAAAAGCCCCTTTGAGTAAAAAAAAATCAAATCTCTACGCAGTGGACGCGACAAAACAAACGAGTCTAACACTATTTTTCCCAGGAGAACCAAGAAGAACAACAAGCCTAGCGCGCGAGCCACCTGTTACTACACCCAAAACCTCCCATAACCTCACCACCAGGGCTGTGAGTGTACTCATTTCACCTCATTTTCTCACCCAGACATGATGTTGCCTCCTCCACACC